CAATTGACCCAAAGTAAGTACTCAACACAGAGTTACCAGGTAAACAAATGAGTCCTTCTACCCATCTACTCATTCATGTATTTGACATTCATTTGGATGTCTGCTCTGAGATCTCTTCCCTTGCAAAGGGTGGGCCTTTGAAAGCCCTATTCACCACCAACCACAGCTGACTATAGCAGATGGATGCCTTGGCCATGAGATTAGAATCAGATTCTTGGAATAGGATTCAGCAGTGCCACTCAGCCATGATGGTGGCAGAATGGTAAGGTGCCAACCCCAGAAGGGTAGACGTTCCCTCCTGCATCTCCTGGACCCAGCTGCACAAGGACAGCGACTGTATCTGTTTATCTGTGACTGTATCTCCAGCTTCTAGTAAAGTGTCTGGTATGAGGTAGAGCCTCCAGAAACATTGCTGAGAGATGAAGGCATGATCGTACAGAGAGAAAGAATGGGAGATGCAGAAAAACACAGATTAAGTCAATAATTAATAAATAGGAAGGTGAAAACAATGACTCTGAAAGGAATCTTGCTTTAAGAATCTTTAAGCCTCAAAAGGTGACTAAAGCAAGAGATCTGAATTAAATTTTTTAAAATATTAACTACATAAACCTAAACCTTTTTTAAAACTAAGACTATCATATTTCAGTAGTAGCCATCTTTTACTACATTTCAAATTTGTATTCTCTCATTTCTTAAGAAGGAAGGCAGGGGTATTGACACAGACATATCACTGCAAACTTAAGAAAATATTAAGCATCCATACCCTCAGTGTTCATTAACTTACTGGTTAGTTAAAAAAAAAAGTGGGGGAGATGGAATTTTCAGTTGCATGAGATGAATGAAAATGATTCATGTGGTCATGCAGGGTAGTCCACAGCTAGATGATACTACAGACTTAAACTCTGGTTCTGTACAATATTACAGTGTTAAACAGGATATCACAGTGATATGTTATTCAAAGAAGTTTTAAAAAAACATTCATTTTTCTGTTTTATTTCCATTTGTATAAGTTTTTTAAAAAGTAAGCACGTGATAGTTTGCAGGATCCTGCTACAACCCAAACTCCCATTTCTATTTATAAATATTATCGTCTCTTTATATTACTTACATTTTGTAACAGATGTTGGTTTAAATTAAAAAAAAAAAAAAAAGACAACTCGGGAGGCCCAGGTCTGAGCTCTGTCCTCACCTTCACCCTCCCCCAGGTGGGCGGGGCAAGCCTCCCTGACCAGGCTGGGTGCTCAGGGGAGGTCAGCCACCTTCAGGGACGGTCAGCAATCCAGAAGCCACTGCACCATGAGTGTCTCTGTGCTGAGCACCACCAGAGCCCTGGGCAGTGTCTCGGGGCTCCTGCAGGTAGCCTCCCTGCTCGGCCTGGTTCTGCTTCTGCTCAAGGCAGCACAGCTCTACCTGCGCAGACAGTGGCTGCTCAAAGCCCTCCAGCAGTTCCCGTCTCCTCCTTCCCACTGGCTCTATGGGCACATGCAGGAGGTAGGATGGAGTGGGACAGGGAAGTGGGAGGGCAAGGAGGGCTGGGGCTCTCAGACCATGGTCCTGGTGAGCAAGTCCATGGGACGAAGCCTTGTTGTGGGACGAGCACGTGGCCTCACAAAAGGACCCAGCTTACCTCTCAGGTCTTGGCTCTTCATCCCAGTCCGGGGAGCTCCCTCCCTCCCAGGACCCCGTGCTGGTGTCCTCGGGTCTGTAAGACACTCCTTCCTTAGGGAGATCTGCAGGCTGTCCTAGCAGCCCTGCACTTTGAGGACAGTGGCTCTTCCTTCCTGAGTCTCCCCCGTCTATAGGCTGAGCAGCTTCAGCTATTCTCATAGAACAGGCTTCTAGATGCTTCCCTGCCCCATCCCTCAATTGCATCCTCTCTGCCTGGCCCTGAGCTTGCCTGGGAGCACAGACATCAGTCTGATGGATGCTGCCCTGTGGGCTCACTGTCCATGGAGATGACAGACAGGAATCTAGGAAGATGTCAGGTCACAGGAAAAGAGACCCACCTGCTGGGTGGGGGGTTACATCAGCTGTAGGGACAAACTGGCTCAGTTTAAGACTGAGGAATTTTCCAGTCTCCTGATTTCAGTGCTTAAATCCTGACAAGTTGCTGGCACACATGAGCGAGGTTCCCAGGATGGTGCCAGGTAAGGAGAACTGACATTTGAGTTGCACCATCCACAGGGTGAGGTC